TCAGGTGACCCACCCGCTCCTAGCAGGACCTGGTGGTGTCAGGTGACTCACCCACTCCTAGCAGGACCTGGTGGTGACAGGTGACTCACCCGCTCCTAGCAGGACCTGGTAGTGACAGGTGACCGACCCGCTCCTAGCAGGACCTGGTGGTGACAGGTGACCGACCCGCTCCTAGCAGGACCTGGTGGTGACAGGTGACCGACCCACTCCTAGCAGGACCTGGTGGTGACAGGTGACCCACCCGCTCCTAGCAGGACCTGGTGGTGACAGGTAGTGGCGGTGAGCACTGCCTGAGCGGTGAGCAACCAGTGGCTTTAACTGTCCATGGAGGTGGCTCAGGTGGAAAGGTCACACTGTGAGCGTCTGGCCACAGTGGGAAAGTAACATGTTTTAAAAACACCACAGAGTGTCCCGTCCCTGGGTCTCTGCGGTGGTGGCTCTGGAGGGGACTGTGGTATGGCATCATGCTGCCGATCCTACCCTCAGCCCTGAGGAGCACAGGCCGAGGGCCACTCCCAGAGACATTCCTACTCAGTCCTGGAAGCCGGGCACTGAGAGCCTCGGTCTTGAAGGAGTGCTTGGTAGGACATGGCTGTGACCAGGGCAGATCTGGGACAGGGGAAGGGGGACAGATTCCCGAGAGTGGCCTGTGGCCTTGAGGACTTTGAGACAGGAGGTGGGGGAGCAGGGTCAGCGTGCTGTCCTCCCACCAGCCACCTTTTCTCCCAGGAATGTATGACACACCCACCCTCTCTGTTCAGCCCGGACCTGAGGTGGCCCTGGGGGACAACGTGACCTTCTTTTGCCACCTAGCGACAGCAACCAGCACTTTCTTTCTGCTCAAAGAAGGGAGGTCAAGCCGCACACAGCGTAGCCTCGGGAGCACACAGGCAGAGTTCCCTGTGGGCCCGGTGACCGTGGCCCACCAGGGGACCTACAGATGCTTTGGCTCCTACAACAACCACGCGTGGTCCTTCCCCAGCAATCCGGTGGTGCTCCTGGTGACAGGTGAGGACACCCAACCTCCCCTCTCTTCTGGAGCCTAGGGAACAGCAGGTAGAGACGGGGCCATGTGCACGGGACCTCCATATCTCAGCGACCCAGCTGGTCAATGACCGGGACTGCAGAGGGGAAGACCCCTAACCTTTCACCTTCCCTCTCCAGGAGGTGCGGGGAACAGCAGTCTTGCACCCACAGACCCCGCGGATTCCCCGGGTATGTGGCGGCACTTCTGAGCAAAGGGGAGGCGGAAGGCTTCTGCACCTGGCACATGTCGAGGTGTCCACTGAGCCCGGGACAAACAGCCTTGCCTGGGTGGCCCTGGCCCAGGGATCCTTTGAAGGGAGTCAGGATGGATCAGGAATTCCTTATAACCCCTGGAGGAGAAGAGGGCGTGCAGAGGCCGAGTTAAAAGCCACTGGAGGGGGGGGGGGGGGGGGGGGGGGGCGTGGCGAGATGGAGTAGGACCGCCCAGGGGGCCCCACAGAGGGAGGCCTTTGAGGAAATGCCCAAAGAGTGGATGGAGAGGGTCGAGAGCTCTGTGGAGGGAGAGGGGATGGCCGCAGCTCCGGGCTGGAAGGTGGCCAGGGTGATCGAGGAAGTGCAATGGGGTCAGGATTGGGAAGGACCTAAGGAGGCGCGGGGGACAGGGCAGCTCACTCACCAGGGGCAGAAAGGGCGGGTTGGCACCTGCCTGTGTGCGGGGAGGTGACGTTGCCTTCACCAGGAGGCCAGGCTCCCCGGAGGAGCTCCTGGCAGAGGACGGCTGAACTCGTCCAGGGGTGTCCGTCCTCCTCTGCTCCACCTGCCAGATGAAGCCACTGGGTCTCCAGCAGGGAGGGGCCTGGGAAGCAAAGGACCTCACAGCCACCAACCTCACGCCTCCCCTTGCCTGTCACCTACAGATTCCTGTGACCCCTACCTGGTGACCACAGAGTCGGGGTCCCAGAAAGGTGATCAAAGGGGGGGGTGCACAGCCACGCCCTGGAGGAGGAGGGAGGGGCACGGCCACGCCCTGGAGGAGGAGGAGGAG